CCCCATGAAGAGAGAGGAAATGGACCAAGCAAATCCATTCCCACTTGCTGAAATGGCCCTTTTGGTGGCTCTATTGGTTGCAACAGAACCGCTGGTTTCGATAGTGGTATTTTACGTCTCTGGCAATCCCGGCATGACTTAACATAATGGTGCACCGAATCCCTTAATTTCGGCCAATAATACCTCTGGCGAATTCTGTCCAAAGTGCGACTACTGCCCATATGGCCAGCCGATGGGTCGTCTTGACACGCTTCTAAGATATCTGCTCGCAGTGATGATGATACAAGAAGCAGAAACGTCTCACCGGTGTTTACGAAGTTGCGCTTGTATAGGACGTCGTTCCAAAGGACATAGGATGTCAAACCACAGACGAAAACTCGTGGTACCTTAATTTGGTGACACTCCAAGTATTGGATAAGCGGGCATAGTTCCGGTTCCTTTCGCTGAAGACGAGCCATCTCCGACACATTCAGAACTCCAAGAAATGGGATGTCTTGTTCTTGGTCAGATGATGGAGACTCAACAGGTGCGCGAGACAGGCAATCCGCGTCATTGTGCATGAGACCAGACTTGTAGACCACAGTGATGTCATGTTCCTGCAGACGCAGGCTCCATCTAGCAAGTCTTCCTGAAGGGTCCTTGATGTTTGCCAGCCAACACAATGTGTGATGATCATTGATTGCTCGAAACGGTCTGCCGTAGAGGTATGGGCGAAACTTGATGATGGCCCATATAACTGCGAGACACTCTTTCTGTCGCTGAGTAATTGGACTCAGCATTCGATAGAGTGCGGCTTGCGTAAGCAATGACCTTTTCTTCTCCATTCTGCCACTGAACGAGGATGGCACCGAGGCCAACGTTACTCGCGTCTGTATGTATGTCTATGTCGGCCTCTTCGTCAAAATGGGCAAGTATTGGAGGAGACTGCAAACGGCGTCGCAACTCTGAGAAAGCCGCTTCTTGTTCCTCCCGCCAAGAGAATGGTACATTTTCTTTCGTTAGCCGTGTCAAAGGCTCAGCGACCTTAGCAAAGTTTTCAACAAAGCGTCTGTAGTAGGCACATAGTCCCAGAAATCGTCTGACGGCCTTTTTGTCTTGCGGTTTCCGAAAATTTTCAGCTGCTGCAATCTTTTCCGGGTCTGGGCGGACGCCTTCCGCACTAACTATGTGCCCGAGGAACCGAAGCTGACGAAATTCAAAGTGACACTTTTCCGGTTTGATGGTCAGTGCTGCCATGCGAATGGCATCCAGGACCATTCTCAGTCGGTGGACGTGCTGCTCGAAGGTAGAAGAAAAAACCACTACATCGTCGAGGTAGACGAGACACGATTGCCACTTGAGTCCGGAGAGCACAGTGTCCATCATTCTCTGGAAGGTAGCGGGAGCAGAGCACAAACCGAAAGGGAGCACTTTGAACTCGTATAGTCCGTCTGGGGTCACAAACGCCGTCTTCTCGCGATCTCGTTCGTCCACCTAGATCTGCCAATATCCACTTTTTAAGTCCAATGATGAAAAGAAGTGAGCATTGCGTAACTTATCCAAGGCATCATCGATCCGTGGAAGTGGGTAAACATCACGCTTTGTGACTTGGTTTAGCTTTCTGTAGTCAACGCAAAACCGCTGAGTGTTGTCCTTCTTTTTGACTAGCACTACCGGTGATGCCCACGGACTGTCGGATGGCTGGATTACATCATCGTTGAGTATTCCCTGCACTGTGTTCTTGATGGCTTCCCTTTCTTTTGGCGCTACTCGGTATTGGCGCTGATGCACAGGTCTCACGTGTTCTTCGACCACGATACGGTGCTTTGCGACGGGAGTACGTCCGACTTTCGACGAGGTGGAGAAGCACTCGGCGAACTCTCTGATGAGGTCAGCAATCTGCTGCTTCTGAGATGACGAGAGTTCTCTGTCAATGTCTACTGACTGGAGTACGTTATCTACTAGCTCTGAAGCTTTATCAAGAGTGCAAACATCTGAGACTTGCACGTACTCATGCAGCGATGCTACGGATGTTTCCTTCGCAACATGCTGCAGCTCATTTCGAAAGTTAGTTAATAGGACACAGGCACATCCATCACGAAGGCTCACCAGGCCTCTTGCCACGCATAGTCCTTTTTCTAGTAGCAGTCCGATGTTTTCGTCAGCTAATCCGTCACAGTCACGAAGAACTTCACTCCTCACAAGAACGGTCACACTGGAACGTGGCGGCACGGTTACATCTTCGTCCACAATGCGGAGAGGTAGAACGATTGGTTTCTCCGCATGACAGAAGGCGATGGCATTCTCCGTAGAAAACGAAACCTGGGACTCTTGCAAGTCAATGACTGCATTGTTTGTTTGCAAAAAGTCCATACCTATAATCAGTTCCCGGGAGCACTCAGGAAGCACAATAAAGCTGCCGACATACACAAATTCTCTTATTCCTATCCTTGCGGTGCATAACCCCACGGGACTAACTAAGTGCCCTCCAGTGGTATGTATCTGAGGTCCGGTCCACACAGTCATCACCTTCTTAAGCTTCTTTGTGAGAGCATTACTGACAACGGAATAGTCTGCGCCAGTGTCTATTAGCGCAATGGCCTCGACGTCGTCGATCGTGACTAATATCTTGGAGGTAACGTCGCTACTACTGCACTTGTCCGTCGTTGCGTAACTGCCACCGTCCTTTAGGGCTAACAGTGGAGGGTCTTCAGTTGTCAGTATATCAGCGGCCTCACCTCCAGAGGTCGCTGGCTATAGTTTTCCCGCCGCGGGCTAAGTGAACGTGATCTTCGGAGATTTGATGACGGATGAGGACTCGGCGACCGATAGCGCATCGGTGCTGTCGAACGCGACTCCCGTTGTTGGGATCTTGAGGTGAATAGCGTGACGACAAGTATTCTTCGATTTCGTAGGGCCGTTAACCGTTCCGTGGGCATGGTGCATTGACTGGAAAACCACGCAGCCCCGCTCGACGATACTCGCATGCCCGGTAAAGGTCACCTGCTTCTCCGGAGTGGTAGCAAAGGGGCCGCCGGTCTACAGTGCGCCATACATCGCTCTTACGTGGTCTTGCTTCTGGCATTGGTAGTGGCGTACTAGGAGAAAACGTCGGAGACATCACAGCAGTCGCAGCCGTCCGATTCATGCGTCCGAGGTCCTGTCGTACAGCTTAGGCGTACGACAACTGAGGCGGAGGCTCCGGTTGTGCGCGCTGTAGTACCTGAGGTTGTGGTTGTAGAACCGCTTGCCGTACTTTTTCGCGCACAACGTCGGGAAGTGAGCAAATCGCTGGATGAGCTTGAGTCATTTGTATTTTCTGGAGTTCTTCCCTTACGACAGCCCTCACCATTTCACGCAAGAGGTCAATGCTACTCGTGAGGGTTGTTGACGCCGCGCTAACAGATGAGACGCTTACGTCCCTGTTGTATTGGCGCGAGCGCTGCTGCAGGGTCTTTTCTATTATGGTCGGTCGCCTATGATCTGAACTCAGCAAGAGAGCACGGTGGATTACGCACCAGGCCTGCAAAAAGCTCCTCCTTCACTCCACGCATCAGGTGCCGCAACTTCTTTTCCTCAGCCATGTTCGGGTCGGCCCGGCGGAACAGTCGAGACATGTCTTCAATGTACATGGCAACGCTCTCGTTGTTCCGTTGGTTTCGCGTCTGAAGAGCGGCCTCTGCCTTTTCTTTGCGGTCCGTGTTTGGGTACGTAGCAAGAAACTCTCTTCGAAAGTCGTCCCACGATAATAAGGACGCTTCGTGGTTTTGAGCCACGTACGTGCAGAATCTTGCAGTGCCACGTAGATGTAGCGAAGTTTCCTGTCTTCGTTCCAACCGTTCAGTCTGGCAACGCATTCGAAACCGTCGAGCCAGTCCTCGGAATGCTCGAAAATATCACCGTGAAATACCTCAGCGGGTCCATGACGATATGCGATGGAAATGAAGTCGCTTGGGTGGCCATTGCAGGGGCTTCGGAACTTACGTCCTCCACTGGTCTCGAAGAATCGAAGAGGGCACCAAACTCGGGCTGCTCACCTCGTAGGCGACGACTCGTTCGTTAGTGTACGGGAGTCAACAGCGCTGGCTCCAACCTTCGGGGTTCTGGGCTATGTTTCCTATGCTGAGATGGGCTTGGAATCATACCCAGCACCTCCACCAGTTTGTAACGAACATATACAGTGCTTGAAGCTAAAACAGCTATTTATTAATGGCGAACTTGTGCCTGTCAACTAAATACACAAAGGTTGTGAGCTCACTACTCAAAACCTCGTCAATTTCTTCTCTTGTGTCTCGCCTCGAGCTGCTCCTCGAAAAACCGCCAGCGTTCCTTTTCCAGCGCGTGATGTGGTGACGCGTGCAGCCAGCGTTGCATGGCACGTTTAGCTTGTCGCGTTTGGCTTGTCAGTTGGTGTGGCAGAATTCATAAGAGCAGGAAGCGGCGCAAGACTTCGATAGGTGCCTAACAACATGCGGCAATATATGCACACACAACATGCCAACTCAAGAAGTTCCGAACTCCGCTTATCATGAAATGGTCCTGCTCAGTGCGTTTGCAAGCTTTGTGTGAATGAAACACATGTCATGCTTTGGGCTTGTGTTTGAGCACCTGATTTCATAAAATGACAGTTCTGTAATGGTGGACTCAAATGTTGCATATGCTGTCACATTGGGTTGTGTCGGCTGTGCATATATCATGCACTGACAACTCTGAGTTGGTGTTCCAAGCCCAAGTTTTTGCAAATATCGTACAAGCCAAGCCATCACAGAAGTGCGAAATATGTTGGTATAACACTCATGTGATTGGATTCATGAAGTACAAGCTATTCTAAAGCATCTATGGTACGCATCTGCAATGCCAATGCACTCAACTAAACTCATGGTTATAACTGCAGAGATTAGGTATCATTTGTCTTGTTGGATCACTGTCAAATTAGTGTGCTGCGTTTTGCTCCCTTGTTTTCTTGTTTGTTTCTCTCGTCTACTTCACTGCCTTTATCATTTCTTATTGTTCTTTTGCAGGAGCTGTTTCGATCCGTGTCTGAGCTTGGGACGCCATGCCCACTGGTGTATGCTGCGCAAGCAGTTGTGTCCCTGTGGGACCTCAAAAAACTTTCAAGAGCCTCAAACGAGACCTTTGATGCAGTGGCAGTGCTTTTCTCATCAGGATTCAGCTCTTTGGTGGATCAACTTCATCGCGAGTGTGGCTCACTGACTAACAGCTGCCTCACAGCAGTGCTAGTTTCGTTGAAGAGGCTCCTTCAAGAACCTTCAATTTCCATCTATCACGTGCTGCTTCGGGAAGCCGCCTCGCGTTGCTCGTCCTTTAACCTTCAAGATCTTTCGCGCTTCATTGTTAGCCTTAACCAATCGAGAAATGTCAATCTCACCTATCAGTGTCTTTCCGTTTCACGGTTGCAGGAGTTACTTCCGTCGTGCAGTACAGAGCAGGACTTAAAGTGTGCTGCGATTTCACTGAGGCGCCTACTTCACCTGTCGTCACCATCTCTCATTGCTGCCTTCTGCGATAAGGCCTCTGAGATTTTGACTCCTGCATCAAATGCTCACACACTGCTTCGTAGCTTACCAGTTACCTCTCACGAGCCTCTGGGCAGCTTTCGTGACAGTTGTACGTCCAACATCCTTGCTTACATCGACCCACTCATACCTTCGTTGGATGTAAGGGACCTCACGTCTCTTGTCAATACGGTATCTGACACTCATTGCAATGCTAGTAGTACGATTAAGTTGATCCAAGAGCGAGCACTGCAGCTTTTCAAGGAAGCACCGTCTTTGTCAGCTATGCATGCTCTTGTCGTGGGTCCTCGCCTGCAGCAGCCAGAACGGCAGCAGATCAAAAGTTCTCTTCCCCAACTTTTGGAGGCAGGCCTTTCGCATCGCCGTGTTGTTGCCATTGCTGACATAGTCACATGGCTTCCTATCACCAGTTTTAGTTTGTTGTCCACGTTCTGGAACATGGCAGCGGACCTGTCCAATCCATCGCTGATGATCCTCATAAGACGTTACCTTTCCTGCTACCACCATACTCGCTTTCGCAGTGAAACTTTTGAGTCCGTTGTGCTGGAGTGGAGCAAGGAAGAATTGGAAAGCTCGTGGAAGCTCGCAGCAGTCGCTCTGGCAGCACAGTTCCTGCTGACGTTCAGACTGTCAGAACTAAGCCTCGAGAATGTGTGCCGGCTCAGCTCACTCTCAAGCCGCTTTCGAAACTGGTCTCTGCTAGAACTCTCGCTGGGCCTTAAGGCGGCAGAAAAGGCATCGTTCAGTAAGCTGAGGAGGGCCACCAGTCTTTCCCCCATGCTGATGGATGTCAAGACGGACATTCACAGGGAAGTCTGCAGACGAGTGGAAATGGCTGAAGATCTAGACGACCTGGCTGTATTGGCTGTCTGCAGTAAAGTACTGTGGTCGTCAAGAGGACACAACATCCAGCTGAAGGAGTGCATTGCAACCAGGTGGGCCACATTGAGTGCCATCTGCTTTGGGTCAATGCACTTAGTGGAAACTTGTCCTATGACTTCTGGCATAAACAGAATAAGTAAAAAAATGAGGGGCACGGGATAGATAGCATTTTTTTCCCTTGATCTTTTTGAGTCGCAAATCTCCCACCAGCTTTGAGTCGCAAATTTTTGCACCAGCACTATCTTTAATAATGTGTACACTAATTCATCGAGGCTGTCAGACCTCATGGAACAGTGCCATTGCACCTATGGCAGAGTTGCATATATTTTTTGGGGAAACAATTGCTGCGTAGGATAAGAATAGGCAGCAGACCAATGCAATAGTTCTCACAAAAGATTTATGTTAAGTTTTAGAGATACACATACATACAAGAATTCATGAAAACACACACTGAACTTTTCAAACACTCGCGATTCAAGAGTGTTGACATAAATTGTGCTGGTGTCAATTCACGCTTTCATCGTTGCTTTATTACACGTGTGTATTAGTGTAATTCTTGTGTGTTATATAATTTGTAAAACAGAAACTGAACACACGTATGTGCAGGTATCACTGTTCATTGCAGATTATTCATCCCACATTAGCATTCGTCTTATTGTGCTTGATATACCTGCATGAAGTCATACATGGAGATCAGTGTGTTGTCTGACATAAGGGGCCGGCCCTTGATTAATGTGCTAAATGCTGGTCTTTCTGTTTTCCTGAAAGCAATCGTCGCTATTGACTTTTGCTCACTAAGATTGAAGGCCGAATGTAAATACCACCACTGGTGCATCATTCCATTTGAATGAATTGCAGGACAGTTTGATTTTCTGCCTTGACCTTCATGAATTCCTATTGCCTGTTTTATTTGCTTGCTATAGCTGAGGGCATATTATTTTAAGATTATTATTATTATGGGTAACTAGCACTTTCTGTCCATATTTCATCAATATGAACAATTCATCCATGCAGTAGACTACTGTGCAATCGGGATAACGTAGAATTAAAATGGGTTTGAGGGCATCCTTTAAAAGTGCTGCCTTGCAACAATTGATTGCCTTTCAGTGAATCCATCTCTGCATTAGTTTTTAAACGAGTCTAATATCAGCGGAGAGGGCAGTGTTCTCTTGTCCTGTTAAGGACTCAAATTCCCACATCTATTAGAAATTCAAAGGCCTGCCGCTACACTTCTTTGGCATGTGCGTGCACACGTGACATGAAGCTGCAGATGTGCACGTACACAATCGGCTTTTTTTCACGACGCCGCAGCTCATGTGGCCTTCCGCTAGCAGAAAAGTCATGAAACCTCTGTTCGCATTGGAGGCTTTGCTTTTGGCAGTGCTCGTTGTCCCAGCCCTTACCAAAGCCCTACAAAAATGAAAAAGGCGAATTGACACCTTTCAGGCATTGACTATAGGGATGAAGTGTGGAAACGTAAGAGCAGTGCAAGAACAAAGGGTTAATCAAAAACTCATTCACAATGCTGACTTTCAAGTACATCGAGTACAGGAGTACCGAGTGTTTTTTTTTTTAAACAATACAGATTTGTGATAAAAATTTCATGATAGTAAAGCTCCTGTCGTTTTTGTACACAAACTCCACATCGAGGCAGAAATGCTTTGCCGCAAGTAGCATGGCACTGTTGTGATCAAATGACAAATACTCGTTAATTTACTTTTTAATTATTGACTTGAAGACAGGTGTTTATATTACTATGTTGTAGTGCATGCCAATTTATGAAATTTATATTTTTTTTAGAAATCAGAAAAATTGCATTTAGTTGAAGAACTTGATGGGGGAAATCAAAACTGATCTAGGCAATGTGTAGAGGCCCTGCAAAGGCATTCGAATCATAACCGTGCCCCTTTCCCATTCTAGATGTGCCTTACTGCAATAAAATGTGTATGCTCGGCCGTGTTGCAGTGAAGTACTGTGGTGAAGCTGACTGTCGGAGAATGCTACGACTTCAAGTATAGCATGCAAGAAGGCTGATTCAGTGGTGCAAGATTAGGAACGTTGCTGTCATCATGGCTTTTGAATAATGTGATTGTGAACCTGAGATTACTGGAAAAAGCCTGAAAAATCACATAGCAATAGGTTTCATCTTGTGAAATTTGGAACGTTGTTATGCATTCACTGTATGAACTATATATGGAACTGCCGCAAAGGTTCCTGAATTACCAGATGTGTCAGACAAGTTAGTCGTTGACTGCATTTCATTCTGATGGCATCGATGTTTAATCTTTTTTCCATTGATTTTGTGCGTAATTGTGGTGAAGTTGTGCTGAGGTCATTTTACTAGGTTCTCAGAAACCAAAAACAGTCACATGTTTCTGTCATTCAGTTATATAACATTGATGCAGCAACTTGCCTAATGTATTGTTAGTGTGACATTTCATACGACTTTGAGATATGAAGTTTGGCTAATTATAAAGCATTTGTGTATTTGGTTCTAGTGTTTCGCAAAAATACTTTTGAGAGACAGACACAAGAAGTGTCTCGCTAAACACACAAATAAGTGTGTTGTTGAGCATTAGAGACCTCTAACTTTTCGAGAACCAAGGTCTGTATTCGTAAACCAACCTCATCCTTTCTTCGAGTTTTATTTATCAGTTTTAAACTTATGTTGCACGTCATGAACAGCGTTGGTCAGTATTCTGGAACCAATCTTTTCCTTAGCTTCCACCAGGTTACAAATGTTATGCCCTTATAACACATGTAAAGAGTGCAGAAAGTTGAGAAAAACGCGAGGTAAAGCCAAGATTGGTTTGTAAATACGGGCCCAATAGTCATTTCCAAGCTTCTGCAGGTAGTTTTTCTGAAATGAGACCTCTGAAATGACTCACCAATGAAAAGTGACATTGTGGATTTCACAATACAATGCCTCCTATGAGGTTGGAGCAAAAGACCTATTTTTCTGCATACATTTGCAGTGCAGAGATATGTATCGAATACAAAGTGCTTGGAACTATTGTTAGATGCGATAGAAAGAATTATATAGTATCGTTGTTGTACTGCCACTGCAGGCAGTGGCATTTATGACGCTTCTGATAATTTTCACCAATTGCCTGCATGCGGCATCACAGGCATGTGCTTTGTCCGTGGCTCACAGATATCTTTTTTGCACCGGGGATGCCATTTTCGGGAGCGTGGTCTAAAAGAATTGAAACCAACACCTCATTGTCTTAAAGTGAATCATCTACACAATTGACTTTTGAAAGGAAAAATTGCCACCCACATGTTTCTAGCTTGAAGCAATAATAGGAAATCTTTCTTGGTGACAAATTTTTCATGAAGCAGGAAGCTCTCTTTAAGAAAAATTTGTATGGATTTCGTGGTAGCTATGATCTACGAACGCATGAACAACAACTTAGGTCTTTCCTAAGCATTCCTCCATCTTGCAGGCTTCTGCACAACCGTGCTTTCGAAGGGTGGAAGTTGTGTTGGAGTGGCATTAAATCAAAATGCCTGATAATTTTCTTTTTTGTGTTTTTTGAGAAAACTTATTTGAGCTTCTAGTCATGACGTGTTTTTGTCAGTCTGTGCAATAACTTGATTTATAAATGCATCAAAACACAGTCCACTGCAAAATTGTCACATTCGTCCCTCAGTGTAACTGCGGATAATGGTGTGGGTGAATATTTTGCTTCATATCATATAATACCTTGTGACAAGCATGCAAACGTGAGCTCATTGGTACATATTAATAATGGGAAACAGTGGGATACAACAAAGGCGAGAAAGACCGAACAGGACTAGTGCTGACTACCAACAACTGTGTTAATGTTTGCTGTACAAATATATAAACATTTTGGAAAGGCAGAAGAGAGGGAAAAGATATTCCTAACCCACCTACGCATAGATGTCCTGCTTTTTTGAATAGCATAAAATGCTCAACTGCAGAGACACTTAATCTCTTGTCTTTCAGTGAGATAGATGAGAAGCTCATATATTCACAAATGACCTGCGATATGGACAGCAGAAGCTTCATATATTTATTGGACACCGTTGTTTCAGTAGTGCCGGACAGTCTTGTTAACAGCACCAGTGAAATATATAAAGCCTTTGCCATCCATGTTGCAGGTCATTCTGGTATATATACGCCCCCCATCTATCTCACAGAATAAATGTCTCTGCAAACAGCGGGATAATAAGAAGGGGAGAAAGCCTTCGTTGTATCCCGCTGTTTCCTACCATGAATACCTCTTGAAAAGTTATAGCGTATTCAGGGACAACAGCAATACTCAACAATTTCGGTAACGCAAAAAAGCACTGGTAAATGAACAAAAAAAAAAAAAAACAGGTTCATGGATGCGGTGAAGGGAGCTTTACAGGAACTGACCTGATCGTTATGAAGGCTCACACAAGGTGCACATGCAGGAGGTCTGCTGGAACACAGCCTAAGAAATGCTGCTCTGCGCCACTTGCTTCGGCTGTTTCATCACAATAGCCATTGATACAACCGCGAAATGATGTCCTCATGGATCGGTGGGACAATGCTTTTCCACTTTTTGAAAACGCTCTCATGAGTCAGTGGCACATGTATGTCACACTTTTTTTTTTCTGTAAAGTACTGGTTTGATTTTAATGACGTTTGTTTCAGACACTCTTCGTAGTTTGTATCAATATATCACAGCCTGTTTTCGTGCCACCATGCCAAAAATATTGGCAAACCTACGAAGGGTCCACGTGCAAGTTTTATAAATCTCTGCACACCTGAACAGCCATATTTCTTTTCTTGACTTGTTATTTTCATCTCGTGTTTCCCTCATGAATTCGTGGGCATTGCTGACTTCAAAGTTTTTGCTGCAGGTCTGCTGCCTTGATGGAGAATGCCTCTCCTCGATCTTTGGCGGCATTCTGCAAAGTGCTGACTGCGGAACGACTATGGCTTCCAGATTACTTGAACCGGCTAGTGGTCCGCGCAGTGGGGAAGCCAGATTGGTTATTTCCTATTACATTGTGCCACTTGCCGTATGCTTGCTTCATTAGTGGCCTGGTTCCAAACAAGGCGGAGCAGCTTGCAAAGGTTGTGGGCTCCTTTGTTCTCAGGTAATGCATAGGTACCGCCTCTTCATTTTATTGAGTTTACCTAACCTTAACATTAGGCTACCACATGTCAAGTATCAATTGTTTTTTAAGCATACCTGTTTTATGCAACATTCAGCTGATGCACTCTCTATACAGTGCTGCATGATATGAAATGCTCAACACGTACGATGGGATAAGTTCTATATTTCAGCTAAAAACAATATTCTTCAGTTGAATATGAAGTGAAATATAAATTTACTTTTATATCAAAAAGATTGTGGCATTCATGCATGCACAGAACCATTTTGAAAGCTTCTTTGAGGTTTAGAATACTCATCACTGTCGTTCTCTGGGCCCTGACTAATGTTAGTTTCAACTGGAACGTTAAAAATTTTATGTCAGAGCCACTGCCTGCCACTTTGCTGTTGACGCCTTTACCAGAAAACGAAACTGTGCACAGATGTTCGACAAACACCAAGAATGAAATGAACAAATTAAATTTTAACTGTACTTGTAAAGTAGCAGGACCAAATATGAACAACAATTAAAAACTAAGGCAGTACTTATTGCAAATTACATTTTCTACGCACCTACCTTTTTAGGTCAACTTTGTTTGATTATATGCATTTTGTTTTTGTACCTTATGGTTCGCCGGCTTTGGCAGCCGATAGGTTGTGACAGAAGTACAGCTAGAGATAATTTTCTTAAAACCTGTATGTTCCTAATTATGATGCTAAAAAATGGTTGACATGTGTGGTATGCATAGTATTCTGCAAATTTTTCTTCATTTATTTTTTTCTTAATTTCTATTTCATGCAAGTTTTCTTTATTCAATCTCTTAAAAAAAAAGTTGTAAAAGTTAGTTGCCGAGATGTAGCAGAACAGAACAAACAGCTTCTTCGTTATTTGAGAAATGCAGTAGGGCCAGCTTTATTGCTTTGTCCATCCTAAAATGGAAGTTTTGAGATCTTTTCTTTGGTGCAGGTTGCAGTGCTAGTACTACGTTTTCTTTCGTTTTTTACTTTTCCTCTCGATTATTGCTTTTTGAAGCCACAAGCCTCCTCATTTTCGGGAGTGACTTTATGTATGCAGCCTCAACATTGCTGCACATCTCTCTTGTTCGAACAAATCCATGCCTGGATACATTGCCGTACTGTGCAAGCTGGGAGCTCAGTGTAGTCTGTGAAATCATGCAAACTCACATGTGGGTTGTGTGCAGTTCCAAACTCTGCATTCGGAGAGGGGTGTAGTGCTCAAACGGTAGGGCATTAGAGACGTATCTCAGCAGAGGGAAAGGGCAACCAGACATAGAGTTTCCTTTAACTATACTTGAGGGAACTCTGGCGCTAATGTCTATGGGAGCTGTAACGTGTGGTATTTCAGCGAGTATGGGAATGATGGCTAGTACACGGATTTGCCTAGTCTTTGCACTTTACGTTCCATTTGGCTTTGCATGGCTTGAAGCTGATTTGTCATGAGACAACAATCAGAAATATAGTTTGTCAGTTATGCTTCACCACAGTAATATTTTAGGCTCACCAATTTGAAACGGGTCACGAAGTTCGAAACGGTTTGCTCTTTTTATTCGAAACAAAAACGAAACTCTGCAATAATTGAAGCCACAACTTTGTTTGAATCCCGTAAGCACGAAGACTAGGCAAACCCATGTCATACCCATAATTCTCATGGTCGCTGAACTATCGCAGTGCCAGAGCCCCTTTAGTTAGTTTTAGGAAACTCTGGGCAACCAGGCACTGTTACGATTAAGACATGTAGAGGAACACATATGTTATGCCTGGCTATAAAATTCTTTGAGCTAAGCTGAAACCAGTAGTTGTTCTATTAGTAAACTATAAAGTTCGACGCTACTAATTAAGTGGTTTTATACTGTGGCCCTCCGAGAGGTGAAGCATGGCAAGCGATTGAGAAATCAGTGCAAACAAGGCCCGCTGTCAAAGGCAAAGCTTAAACGTCCTCCGAGTTATTGCATGGAATTGCCCGGCTGTGTGCGTTGACTGTAATGTCAATTAACAGGCTAGTCTGGGGTCTGACAGTTTCAATGCTAGTTTTTTGCTTATGAATGAGAACATTACCGGGAATGTCTCCCTTTTTGTTTTTAATCATAAATTTGCTCGCGTAATGAACACACTCGCATAATAAATGCACTGCCAACTTCAGTAATCAAAATTTGGATTTTTTTCCTCCGCCTAATACAGTCCTACATTCATCCGCTGCAGTCCCGTTAACCAACACTTGGGGCCTTCTGAACCGTTGGATCTCTTCCGTTTACTATTATTTTGCCACCCACCTTGGCTCGCTCCCTCCCCCCTTCACCCGTTGTTGCGTGCTATATCGTATTTCTATCTGTGCGTGGCACGTCCCCCCGTCTTATCTGTGCGCCACAGCAGGGTCCACGAACAGTGCGACTGTAGAGACATTGCAGCTGATAAGCGCACAGCGAGTGAAAGTCACGAAACTGCCCACGCCAACCGACGATTCTCAGTTTGCTTGTTATTCGCGTGTAAAGTAACTTCTTATGTAAAAGCGAGGCAGTGACTGTATTTTGTCGTTAATCATATTATCTGCGGTTTGTTTTGATGTTTCTGTGGTGGCTTGCTTTAATTCTGGTTACTTGCTACAATGTTAAGGCCGTTGTCACGGTTGTAGTGCGAGGTTGTCGCGAAGTTGGCAAAGTGAGTTGTAGCGCTGTAGCGCTCACTTTTGGGCGCCCCTCGAAATCACAGAAGATTCCACTGTTGCGGTTAAACGATTGCAAGAAAAGATAGCCGCAAAATACTTTTATGGTGTGCGCGGGCGGCCTAGGGACAGCTTGCAGAAGATTGCCCCATGAGCCGCCGAAAATGAGTAAAGTGCAACAAAGAAGCTATTTCCAAACAGTGTACGGGTTTGTCAATTGCAAAAGGCTAAACGACGAAACTTTTTTTTGCATTACTGCGCTCCTCCTGAAAAAGTTTTATAGAATTTACCCTGCGTAATAAACGCACCCCAAACTTTGCTTCGATTTTTCGAGGAAAAAAGTGCATTCATTATGCAAGTAAATGCGGTATTGAACCCTATGTATCATGATGATCTATGTAACGTTTGTGGGCACAAGAACTGGCACAGGAGCTGGATAAAACAATATGTAACCTCTACATCCATACTGATGAAGTGACACTAGTGTAGCCTTTTTGTGGTATAAAACGAGTAAATTACTGCACCTAATTGGGTTGCTCTGTAGAGTTTTTTTTCACACTTCTACATCCTGGTTTATATGCTAGGAAAAAAAAGGAAAAACATTTTGCTTTTTCTAAATTTTCCTTCCTCTCTCAAGCTCTTACTTCCCTACGTTGATTATGCGATTCATGAAAGTCCCAGTCTGCAATGAAAGTTTCAAGTGACGTTTTCTGACAGGCCCTTCAAAAAAACCCATATGGCTGAACCCACCACTGCCTTTCAGAGTCATCTTGGGAAGTCGATGCTTACAGTTAATCGCCCGTACATTCCAGAAGCTTCGATGAACTGCCAACTCCTGAGGTGCTTCAGACAGCAGTGGCCCTAGGCTTCTTCCAGTGCTTGGGAAGCGACTTGATACAGCGTATTTTTGCTCTGCCCTTTATGGAGCGCCTGGATTGTGAGCTGACCGGTACGTGGACCGGCTACTTCATATCCTATGACAAGGCAACACTCGTATCAAGCCAGAAAGTTAACACCACCGAAAATTAAAGCTAGTCTGCCCTATTTAGCAGCATCTTGTAGTCCTCTGCTAACCACTCACTGTAAGAGGCTGCATCACTTCAAATTTCTCCTTGTTGGTGTTTTGAGCTATGTAAAATAATTGATTGATAGGCATTTCTTCAAAGCTATTGTGACTGTAAAAAAAATAATTGTGCTCACAGAATGGAACGCATTAGTTTAGGGCCAGCTGATGTGCATTACACCCCTTTCCATCATCTTAAATAAATGTCACGTCACCATAATATTGGCTTGCACACTTACAACATCACCTTCATTGGCTGGATTTGTAGTGACTTGATGTGCTTATCTCATGTGATTGCAAATATTTCTTTTACCTAAATGTTTTCATTAGAGCTGTTCAAATTGCAAAATTTTGAGTGCAAAGGGAACATACACATTGAAGTATAAGTGCAAATGGAACTGAATATTCCTAGAATATTTTTTTAATACTTCAGTGCCAAATTGCAGAAAAAAAGAGTGGGAGAGGATTCATTAGCATATTCTTATGAGTTAGTGGTGTGAAATTTTTTTTTGAGTAGTTTAATGCAGTTCTGGCAGGGTGGTGTTTCATAGTTATCTTATCAAGAATAAGGCAATGTAGATGCCAAATCATATTTATGTACATGATTTGGTGCTACCAAAGTTACCGACAACACTTTACATGTGAAAGGCAAAGATGCTTAGCTTCTCCTCCTTTGGCCAGCTGTGGAAGCCCCACTGATGTGTTGAACAAGGGTTTGCTTCTGTCAAGTTTGGAGTTCCAAATCTGCCTTATAGATGTCAATATATTGAAAAATCTGAAAATTTCAATGCTAAAAATCTTTGGTGTCTCATTTTTCAGACTTTCTGTCCAAATTTCAGGACAAAACAGTGTTAACTGAGCCCCAATTTTTGCCGCATCTATCATCTCCATCCTTGAACCAGCATTTTCTTGAGTCAAAATATTCGACTGCAGCAGAGCTTGAAAGGCAGCTTTGCCAATGTGCGAGAATGTAAAGGGGTGAAGCATACTAAAATCTGAAAGGGCCACTGTCATAAATGTTCATACAAGAACACCTAGAAGGGAATTCGGTGCTAGTGTCTGCGCAGGCTCCTTCATTGGCTCTTGTACTCCCATGTGAAATATGGGAAGCACAGGCTTCGAATTTGCTTCGGTTGGATTAGATTCTTGAGGTTCGCAACACTTCTTTTCCAAGTGTAAAACAAAGTGATAAGAAATTAATTTCAATCTAAACCTGCTTCATTCTTTTTTACGTAAACATTATTGCAAAAAATTTTTTTTGACCATGAGATGGAAGTGAAAACTGGACATATTTAATCACTAGGGCATGCACTGCTCTGCCATTGCGTTCCAAGTTTGGCATCAAGATATAATAAAATATTTTTTTACAACAATGTAACACAAACATTCTTGTTTTTTCTTCAAAGGTAGACATTATTTATGGAAATAAAAGGGCAGTATTAAGTGAGAAACACTTAACGTTTCGTCTGCTGCAATGCCAGGTGCTTCTGTCTAAGTTGTCTGCCCCCGACCCACCTCTCGTTTTGTTGTAAATTCAAGTCAGAAGAGCGTTACAGTGCATCTACTTAGCTTCGCTGTCAATTCAAACGAGTTTTAGCAAGATGCGCTTATGGAAAAATGTGAACTCGATGTATTATTCTGCACAGGCATGAAACGCTACATTTATGCGCAGCGGTGAGTGGACGGTGCTTCAAATGCATCTTTTAAAGCTCCAAAGCCGCAGCAAATCTCAAACCTAGTGGTCTTCAGCCATTTTGAACTAGGGCGCTGCTTCAGGGGTTTGCACTGCACCTTACTACCCACTCTGCTCGGAGAACAAAACCGAAACTGTAGAAAAAGATTTGTAAACAGTGCACTAGCTAACGCAATCCGATGTGAAGCTTGTACTTCCCATAATTTTTATGCGAGTACACGATTGCTGCGCCAGATTCCTCTCTAAGTATTATTGTATAAAGCTCCATGGCCAATGCAAATCAGATGTTAATTGTATTTGTCTTCGCGAAGTTTGAATAGCCCAAATGGCAAATTTCAGTGCAAATTGAATAGAATTAACTCGCTTCAGAAAAATATTCAAAAATTTGAATATTGGCAGACCCCCAGTTTACAGCTGGCATTTCATGCGTATCTGTTATGATCTTAAAGATGAATCAAAGAAGGAAGTTTTCCGGGCTCATTTCTTTGTTTAAGACAACCTCCCCGCAGGAGCGTCTGTGCAAGCAGGCGTTTGATGTGTAGCGACATCACAGACACGAGCTATCAGGGGGGGGCTTTAACTCTCTCGCACGCCTAGCCGTGAGTGGCTTTGCCGTGTCCGGGGAAAAGGGGATCCTGGGGATTGAGCCGACGCCGGGTGTTTGGACCTTCAAGGCCCCCCAGCAGAGACAGCACACCCCTTCGACCGTGGCTTCACGTAGATGGCACCTCTGGACTGACCCACCCAGGGGAAATCGGCAGTCATCTTTTCCTATCTCTCTCTCCCTGCATCTTCGTCTTTATCCCTCGCTTCTATCTATTCTGTTTACTTCTCTCTTCTGTTTACTTCTGAGTCTTCCTGGCGGCAAGGGTTTGTAGAGGTTGCCACCTTTCAATGCTTTGATTAGGCTGCCGCCGGAGCGTGGCGCCCCCTGTACCTTCTGTGTATGTATATATTTTAATGGGTGCAAGAGAAGAAACGTCAAAAACTGGTTTATTATGGGCGAACTTGTGCCCTGAAAATTATGTGCGAAAAGATGGAAGAGTCCGCTAGAGCGTTCCAAAACAAAAACTGTTCATCTGCCAACGCACCTTCTTCTTTGCAGCTCCAACCCACACTGACTCTTCCCCGTGAACAAGAGGCATGAGTCGTGCGGCCACAAGCAGGAGTGCGCACAAGACTGTGGAGGCTGATTTTTCATAATGTCGGATAGTGTAAACAGTCTCTGTGGCATTAGTCCCCCTTCGAAATATGCATCGTCCCGATGCGCGATGGAGGGAGGCAAAAAGAAAAAGGGAGCATTTTTATTCCCTCTCATAATAGGGCTTCATACGAACGACGTGTACGACTTCTGCGCTGTTTCGCCGCTTTGAACGGATGTATCCATCGGCGATGACTTCGTAGTTTACGTCACTAATTCGTCGGAGAACCTTATAGAGGCCAAAGTATCGACAAAGAAGCTTTTCTGATAGGCCGCGGCGTCAGATTGGTGTCCATATCCACACTCGCTCGCCCGGGTTGTACTGAACTTTTCTGCGGCGCAGATTATAGTGGCTTGTGTCCTTGTTTTGCTGTTGATATATTCGGTGTCGTGCCAACTGGCGTGCTTCTTCAGCCCTTTGCAAGAAAGTCGTCAAGTTCAGATGGCTCGTAATTGTAGTTGTCTATTGGCAACATGGCATCGAGTGTCGTAGTGACAGTGCGACCGTAGACCAGCTGAAATGTTGTGACGTGGATGGTCTCCTGCACGGCTGTATTGTAGGCGAAGGTTGCGTATGGCAAGACTTCGTCCCACAATTTATGCTCAATGTCAACGTACATCGACAGCATGTCAGCGATGGTGCGGTTCAAACGTTCTGTCTACCCGTTGGTTTGGGGATGGTATGCAGTGGTCTTCCTATGGCTGGTGTTAGTCATTGTCATTAAGGACTGCATCAAATCAGCCGTGAACGCTGCTCCTCGATCGGTAATCACCACGCGTGGGGCTCCATGGCGAAGAACAAGATTCTGAACGAAAAACTTCGCGACTTCCGTTGCCGTTCCTCGCTCAAGGCAGCCAGTTTCAGCGTATCATGTCAAATAGTCAGTCGCAACTATTATCCACCTTTTTCCTGATGCCGACATTGGAAACGGTCCGAGGAGGTCCATTCAAACCTGTTGAAATGGAGTCGCTGGTGGCTCTATAGGCTGGAGAAGGCCGGCCGTCTTGAGGGGTGGTGTTTTGCGCCTTTGACACTCGCGACACGTCTTGGCGTAATGCTTCACGGAAGCTAGCAACTTGGGCCATTAGTATTTCTGATGAATTTTGGCGAATGTTCGACTCGCGCCCAAGTGACCCGCACACGGTTAATCATGACAGTCTTCTAAGACTTCATGCCTCATGGCTGATGGTACAACGAGTAAGAACTTCTCCTTGTTGTGTTCGAAATTCCTCCTGTAAAGTGCATTATCTCGGAGGCAAAATGAGGATAACCCTGTCTTAAATATGCGAGGAACTTGTTCGTCGTGCCCTTCGAGATACTTTATTACTGGAAGCAGTTCCATGTCAGCCCGTTGATGTTCGGCGATTTCTGAGGTTTTTATCACACAAAGGATTGGGAAGTCCTCTTCTTCTGAAAGAGTCGAGTCGACTGGTGAACGTGATAAGCAGTCAGCATCATCATGCTTTCTGCCAGACCTATATACGACCGTAATGTCATATTCTTGGAGCATGAGACTCCATCCCGCAAACCGTCCCGATGGGTCTTTTAAGCTCTCTAGCTAACAAAGTGAGTGGTGGTCACTTACGGCACGGAATGGCCTGTCGTAGAGGTATGGCCTGAACTTGCTGATCGCCCATATGACTGCCAAGCACTCTTTTTCGGTTGCAGAGTAGTTTTTTTCCACATTTGAGAGGGTGCGGCTAGCATATGCTATCACTTTCTCTTCTCTATTTTGCCATTGCACCAGGACCGCACCTAGGCCAAGATTGCTGGCACCTGTATGAACTTCCGTATCTGCGGTTTCGTTGAAGTGGGCCAGGATAGATGGGGCTTGAAAACGTTTCTTTAGTTCGTTGAATGCACTGTCTTGTTCGGTGCACCAAATAAATGGCACGTCCTCTTTTCTGAGTCTTCTTAGAGGTTCGGCAATTTTCGCAAAATTTTTCACAAACCGTCTGTAATAAGCACATAAACCCAATAATCGGTGTACC